ATCTTTTAGAAGTGAGTTAGTTTAATATGAAATATTATTCTGAAAATTCATTTCTGAATTTTTTACCCACTACACGCTACCTCAAATTAATGAGGGAAAAATTGTTGCTGTTGTCACACCCCCGCCGGGAATCGAACCCGGGACCTTTGGCTTTACGCACCAATGTTCTGACCACTAAACTACGAGAGGTGACAACAACAACCACGACCAACCGACCTACAAGGTTAACGATCCGTCGAACTAATGTAACTATATACTGAATATACTATGATTAAACATACATATAATTTAGATATCTTTTAGAAGTGAGTTAGTTTAATATGAAATATTATTCTGAAAATTCATTTCTGAATTTTTTACCCACTACACGCTACCTCAAATTAATGAGGGAAAAATTGTTGCTGTTGTCACACCCCCGCCGGGAATCGAACCCGGGACCTTTGGCTTTACGCACCAATGTTCTGACCACTAAACTACGAGAGGTGACAACAACAACCACGACCAACCGACCTACAAGGTTAACGATCCGTCGAACTAATGTAACTATATACTGAATATACTATGATTAAACATACATATAATTTAGATATCTTTTAGAAGTGAGTTAGTTTAATATGAAATATTATTCTGAAAATTCATTTCTGAATTTTTTACCCACTACACGCTACCTCAAATTAATGAGGGAAAAATTGTTGCTGTTGTCACACCCCCGCCGGGAATCGAACCCGGGACCTTTGGCTTTACGCGCCAATGTTCTGACCACTAAACTACGAGAGGTGACAACTAACTCACTTCTAAAAAAGATGTCTAAATTGTATGTATGTTTAATCATAGTATATTCATTATATAGTTGCATTAGTTCGAAGGATCGTTAACCTTGTAGGTCGGTTGGTCGTGGTTGCTGTTGTCACCTCTCGTAGTTTAGTGGTCAGAACATTGGCGCGTAAAGCCAAAGTTCCCGGGTTCGATTCCCGGCGGGGGTGTGACAACAGCAACAATTTTTCCCTCATTAATTTGAGGTAGTGTGTAGTAGGTAATAAATTCAGAAATGAAATTTCAGAATAATATTTCATATTAAAAATAGGAAATATTCAAAGTAATCGACGAAATCGTCGGGAAGAACGAGAGTTATGGTCAGTGGTTTGGAAAGATGAATTTGTTTTTAGGTATATGTGTAATTGTATGTGGTGTCTATGTGAGTATTCTTATTGTGGTGGGGTTATTGTTTTCGACGGCTCTTTTAGTGCATCTAGTTTGTAGATTATTTATGCGTGTAGGGATTGGTATAATTGTAACGGTTTCGTATGGTGAAATCTGTGTAATCTTGCGATTTTGCGTAGGATTTGGCTTTCGGTCGTCACAATTTTGTACTTAAGATGTTGTCAATGTGTTAAATATATTACTATTTTAAATGTGCTACTATTTTACTTATACAATTTTCAGAGGTACCTTGAGGCGTCATGAATGGTTGCATACGGGCGTACGTCCATTTGAATGTTCGACTTGCAGTAAACGTTTTGCCATAAAATGGCAGTTGACCAGTCACCTACGTGTCCATACCGGAGAAAAACCATACGAATGTCTAGTGTGTCAGAAAAGGTTTCCAGAAAAATACCGTCTTGATCTACATATGCGCGTTCATGCGGAAGAAAAACAATTTAAATGTGAAACCTGTGGACAAGGATTTACTCAAGAGTAAGTAATATTTCATACCACTTAGATACATGATCATTACTGGTCATTACTTAAACCTGACATAATAATGTTCTTTCTGCAACCTCTGTTCTTCCCGGGTTATATTAGACGCTCCTTCTGTAACAGAAATAAGTGTCAAACTTTGGAGGGCGTAAACTAGATACAATAAACAATCGCACGCTGAGTTAAGCAGCGTAGTTAAGGGCAAAAGAGGAGCCAAAGTTACAGGAGAGGAGTTTTGTACTATCGTCAACAACAACCTCCCTATTTCAAGGCATTCGTAACTCTCTCTCAATGTTAGACTCATTAGAACAAATTTGTTTTGTATGATTACCTATGGCAAAACAGATTCAAACAACACCAGTTATACGTTCAGGTTATTAGTTTCAGTAACACATTGAAAGTATCCTAACTGCGGTCGGAAGCATTATTTATTGTTTATTCACCCCCCAAGTAAATTCAAAATTTGTTATATATTTATAATTCAGCACTCTCGTTTTCGAAGGGACACACCCAAAAAGACTAGAATTAGAAATAATAATAATACATGGCTTGCTTATTGCATGACGCGAGCCATAAGAGGGTTATAATTATGTAAGACGTGCACATCCCACTTGCTCGTAGGCAGTGAGGTTTCGTTTACGTTTTGTATTTGACAACTTGCTGATACTACTGAAATTGATGCGCAGTCGCTATTAGCACAGTGGACGATTGCGTTTTATCCCCGTTATTAGTGATGATGCTTTTTAGATGCTTTCGCTTAGGATTAAATTATTTCTCCTATATATAATCTTCTTGGACATACCATTAACCTTTTTGTTATTTATATTCGTTTAGTGACTCAAAACAAGACGATTGTCTCTTAAACTGTGTAAATCATGGAGTTCTATTTAAATGTCCGATTTGTAGCAAACGTTGCATTAAAAAATTGGATTTCAGCAATCACGCTCACACACATAGTGGGGAAAACTCATGCGAATGTCAAGTTTATCAAACAAAGTTTGGTGCTCAATTGACATAATATATATGCCTATGCATCCATACGGGAGAAAAGCCGATATGGTTAGAAACATAGAATTAAAAATATAGCAATTAAAAATTAAAACTACGTGGTAAGAGAAAAATGCTCACAATTTCAATCAATTGTAATTTTGAATGGTAAGGGTGTCATTTATCCTTCTCTGTTTCTTGTATACCTGTCTTGGTGTTGGCATAATGTTTAATGTTACTAGTATACATTTAATTATTAACTGTACGTGTATAATTTTCAGAAATAATTTGAGGTCTCATGAAATGGTGCATACGGACGAACGTCCATTTGAGTGCTCCATTTGCGGCAAACGTTTCAACAGAAAATCATACTTAAGCAGTCATGTTCGCGTTCATACCGGGGAAAAGCCGTACGATTGTGATGTATGTCAAAAAAAGTTTCCTAATAAATACCGCCGTGATCTACATATGCGCGTTCATACTGGAGAGAAACCGTACGAATGCAAAATTTGTTTGCGAAGATTTTCGCGAAGATCTTGTCTTAAACAGCATATGCTCACGCATTCATAAAACTTATACAAATGCAGAAACGTAATTTTTTATATGTTAACACTCTTTTTTTTTTTGAATTTATAAGAATATGAAATAGAGTTCTAAAGTTCTGTTGAACTAATGTAAACGAAACACTGAAAGTGCCACCTTAAGTGTCGAACCGTGTGTTAATTTTTTATGAAACGTATTTGTGGAATACGAGTAACAGTTATTTATTTAGATTCTTATATATTGTTTTCTGAAAGAATGTAATGTTCCTGTAATAAAGATATAAGTCAGCTGTTCCCAACTTTTTGGAAAGTCCATTGTCAGAAAATAAATGGGTTTTTGATAATACAAAAATATTTGGATAAATAAGGAAAACGCCCACATATATGAACTACATTCAAAAAGCTAGAGGTAGGAACTACATGGGGGTGGTAATATACAGCGTGAGCCGTGTGAGCGTTACCAAGTTGTGTTCGATGATCCGTAAAGCAGTGCGTAACCAATTTGACGCGTAAACAAGTTTTCTCTTTACGTTTTGTATTTGAAACCTGATAATACTGAAATTAATGTGCAGTCGTTCATTGCGCAGCGGATCGTGTTAGTACTAATAAGGTACAGCAGTAATAATTTATCTCTAGCGAATGTAGGCTAATCGTATGCTTTTAATTAAAAAAATTAATTACTAATTAACTAAGTCACAAAAGAAATACTTTTGTCGCTTAAAGTTGACTCGAATTTATTCTATTCGTAAGTGTTCACAATTTTTCAGAAAGTAGTCTTTAATGAATAAAAAATTGATTGAAAATGTAAATACCTACGGTCGTACGACAATTTGAGAATGTGTGTGCGACCGTGTTTTTAATTTTTTTGAAAGAACAGTCCTACCGCGCTTATTTTTTAGATCTAGTGAAAGAAGGGGATATTAATTAACAAAAACAGCAAAAATCACATATTGGTCCATATTCCTATAAACAAAAGGATGTACATAACTACAACAACATTTTGGTAGTTTTTTCGTCCAATAGACATAGAGAATGGACTAAGGAATACCCTCATGAAATTAACCACTCTCTAAAATAGACCAATAAATTGTGCGATCGTGCGGCCAGTAGTTTTTTTCATTCTTTTTAAAAATTAGCTATGTCACAGTCTTGCAGGAGCGGAGGAATGAGGAAAAAAGACAGGTATTGGCCGTAAGGTCGATTTTTCTGATTTTAGAAAATGGTCAATTTCAAGGGGGGTATTGCTCAGTCAATTCTCTATGTGTATGGTCGGATAGTTCAGAAGACTCGATGAGTCGTGTGAATCTGGCACCCGATATTAATAATCCACTGATTCAAACTTTATTAATAAATTGTGCGTCGGTTGCGGGTTCTAAATAAGTAAGTATTATAATTCTGCGCCCATTGGTTCTGTTTAAAAAAAAGAAAATCGTTTCGGGCGCAGGTGGAAACTAAATATCAATTTTTTTGAAAACTACTGAAAATATGATAATTTAATTGACGCCATTTGATTGCGTGTCATTTGTACTTGAAGACTGATCTAATATGGTAAGCGAAATTCATTTTTATTTTATTTATTAGTAATAAGTACATACATTTTTCATTGATTTTTGTATTATTGATTAATGGTTACAAATACTATTCAATGGCATTACTATGATCATATTATTATCTATGATCCACCAATGTTGCACGCCTATTAGTAATAATGAAAAATTAAGGATAGTGCTTATCCATGTTTTATATGTAATTATTGGTAATATATAATATAAAGATAAATTCCGTCTACCATATTAGACCAGTCTTCAAATACAAATGACACTTTTATCATATCTTCAGTAGTTTTTAAATAAATTGATATTTAATTTCCACCTGCACCCGAAACAGTTTTTACTTTTTTTAACAGAATTAATGGGTGCACAATTATGATACTTACATATTTAAAACCCGCAAACTACGCAGAATTTATTGGAAAAGTTTGAATCAGTGAATTATTTATATCGGGTGCCAGATTCACACGATTGAGGAAATCAGATGCACAATATATGTGCATAATCATAGATTTGCACAATCATTGAGGTTAGAAGTACATACAGGTTATGTTTTGATTGTAAACTAGTCTTTTTTTTTAATACGAAGAAATGATATACAGTTTAGCAGTGAAACGTGAATTATTTCAAAATAATTGCGTTATTAATAGAGCATGGCGTTTTCTGATAAAGAAATAATAGGAAAAATGATCTTTTATATTTCAGTAATATAAAAGAAACTAAAAAAAGGTAGAAGGCAATATTTCTGTAAGTTAGATTAAATGTATTTACAGAACGTCAGGTTTTCTTAAAAAAGAAATTGGTAGAAAACCTGAGCTTTTAAAATCAAGTTTGTTGCAACACCAGTAATCGCATACTGGGTAAAAACTACTCCAATGTGAAACTTGTGGAAAGAGACTTATTGAATAATAAGTAACGAATGCCTTTTAAAGCGATATTTTTAATTATAAAAATCACAAATATTTTGTGCATACATGATCTAAAGAAACTCAATTTTAAACACATTTAACTTAACTAAAATAAAATAAACGCATTTGATATAAATGGAGTGTTTTTACAACCTTGACTGCACAGAATATGATTTTATTTACTTAGGACAAACAAAAAACACTTTTTTCGATCATTTAAATTAAAGAAATATAACTGAAATTTTGCAAGATAACCATGAATTACGCGCGGTCGTAGGAAACGATCTAGGTTACAAGATATATTAAATTTTAACATTCAATCATGTGACAAAAAAATGCCTTATACTTTTCGTCTAATTGCTGACTAAAATTGAATTGAAACTTGATGTACTTATTTTTAATGGTTCACTTTTGCTCTAAACCAAGTCCAATCGAAATTCGAACCAGGGACATGGAAATTATCTAGAAATTGTTTATTTCTATTTTTCTTATAATAGTATTAAAATGATTTAAACGACGTTTGAAAATTGTGTGTTTCTTCCGAAATTACTTTTTAATGTTCTGTTATCACATTATTTCTTATGAACCCTATGGTAATTATATATTTAAATATTCTTGTGATTGCTTGATAGGAATATTACACAAACATTGGGCATCTTCTATAGTTGGTCTGTGATTGTAGCAGTCTGCATTTCATCCAAGTATGGAGCAGCAGCCTCTTATTCACTGGAAGCAGAAACAAAAAGAGTAAGTAACAAACATTACTAAGCGATTCATAAGGTAAAATGAAAAGGCTTGGTAAAGTGGTAATTATTTTGACTAATGAGAACTTATTTTATTGCGAAACATTTTCTCTATCATTATAAAAGTATTTATTTATTAAAAAAGAAAAACAATTCCTAATAC